TAATGATACTTAGAGTGAACAAACTCATTTATAGAAAAAGCAGCTACATCAGTGATAGCAATTAAAATGTCGGAAAATGGGATAATGGTTGTGTACAGGGAGAGGAACGCTCTGTAGATAAATGTATAGATACCAAATCATCCGTAGTACAAGACGTATATCATACACTGACACTATACTGTAGAATACACACAGCCTACACCAGATCACTAAGGTAACCATTAGCCTGTCAACAACGTTAATGATCCCGGTACAAATACCAATTTTTTACCATGACTATAGCTTTGATAAATCATTTCTGAAAAGAAATCAAACCTGGCGGAACTTTTGTGAGAAATACTAAAGATGAAATAAACTAAATATATTCAACAGCATTGTTCTGAGTGGAAACTGTCCAGCGGGTCTAGATCGGAGTGCAAACCCCCTGGTCTTCGGAAGTGTTCACAAACGGTATTAAGGGGAGGTTACTGCATACGACAAACTACAGAGCGGTGGGACAGGGGTCCTTGATCAATGTATTGTAATAAACTGGGATGCGGATAAACAAAGTACAATTGTTGTTATGGATTAAAGTACAGTTGTGAAATGATGCTAAATGTAGATAGGCTATCTGAAGTGGGTATCCATCAAATCAACATATCAAAACAGGGCTTGTGATACCAGGAAACTTATTGATAATGTGTCATTAATAATATAGTAAATTGGCGAAGCGAAGGTTTAACTGAAGAAGACATTGATTATACTTTACTTTATAGATATTCAGAAAACGAACCTCAATGCGAGAGATGTTGAACATCATTGATCAAGTTTGATAACGCTAATAACCTGCTTTTGCTTTGAGATTAAAATTATTTTATTACAGGATCATTTTTTAACAAATTCTCTTTAACGATGTATTTATTTGATCATATCTAAACATACTCCGTTTCCTTTTATCGTATAATTATTCAACGAGTTTAATGGGAATTATGTTTCCGTGTCAGTAACATTACCAGAAACTGGACTTTGGTCGTGAAGGTTGTTGTCGTAAACGCTGAATGTATTGTTATGGACCAGGAACATTACAGTCCGCCATTCGTCATCCTGTGGAGATGTCAAATTTAGAATTTAGACACATTGTCAATAAAAACAATGTCCTGTGTAGAATATGGTTCAATTTAAACATTATTAATGATTTTATCCCTAAAAACGACACTATCTGAGGTTTTTATAGTTAAGTTAAACATGTTATTCCGTCGTTATTATTACACAGAGTATGAGTAATAGTTGATTGCACCCATCAAGTTTGGAAATAGATACAGTATGCCAAACATGAAACGCACTGCATCATACAGCTGTTTCGTCCTTCTAGGATTCATCGGTGATGCTAGGTAAATGGCGGTGTGAATTGACACTGACTGCATCCTACACTTTTCTTACTTTATGTTTGGCATAGTCTTATCTTACTTTTTTCAAGCTGAAAATATATTCAATGCTCAAAGATGGACGTAGCAAACACACAGGTGATTGCAAAATTGTGCCAAAAAAGAAATACATTGTATACTGCATCCTACAGCTGTTTCGTTCTTCTCTGACTCATCTGTAATGATAGGGGTCAAAACATAGAAATTGGTCTTAACTACTCTTGCAACAAAATCAGATATGTATCCGATATGTGCATTAGAGGGACTTGCAAGAAATATTTCATTTCACCATGTTTTAAAGGAAAATCATTGTCATTTCAAAAACCAACAAGTATTCAAAGAGTCTGAGTGGAATTTCATAATTGCCACTGGAGGATGAGCCGGTATATTTACTTCAAATATCATACACTCGTCGTTGTTTTGACACAACATCAACGCAAAGTTAGAACCCTTCGTGTCATAAAATGCCTTAGTTTGAAATAGATCCTAATTGTAACCAACAAACATCTCTAACCAACAAACATCTCAACCGCAATCCTGACTGTAACAAACTTATAACATTTTGTTTTACTCTTCAGAAGAAAAAGGAAAATAGAGAAAGCATGCATATAAAAAAGGACTCATAAAATCTAAGTTCTTCGGCACGAGCATCAACACCTACCCACGTGTCGTTGGTACAGTTGTTGGAGTCGTCGTGGAACCTGTTCTCAAACAGATAGGAGTAATATTCGTCATCATAATAATCCACGTCATCGTGAAGGGTTTTATCGTGTTTTTTGTGCACCTCCATCTGCGTTTCGTGCTCGTCCTCGGACGTTTGGACGTCAAAGATGGTTGTCCGTCTATTCGTCGCAATAGTGATGGTTGGGTTCTCGTAACACGAACCAGACCACGTGTAATCGTTGTCACAGTCGCCATTGGAGACGAGCGCCATTGTGCGGTAAAGTTTGTCGTCCTCGTCTTGGTCATACTCATCGTTAAACCCGTAGCTTTCATCGTTTGAGTTGTAGTAGTCGAAGTCACCATATTGCTCTGTGTGGTCACCTCCCCCCTCTGGTGTTCTGTTTGCCATCTTATACCTAGGGATTGGAAAAGCAATCATGTTAAATAGTTAAACACATCGCACTGGAGTAGTAGCGTGAATCTACTAGTTTCCCCTGATCTCCGTCAATAGTGAACTTTAAAATTATACAATGTGCTGTTAGATTTTCTTTCCTAGAAGTTAAGAACTTTATCGAATTCGATAGATAGCTGCACGAATGATGAAAAGAAACGCGTGATCTCGCGTGATCTCGCAGTGAATATTTCAAGTCGTATACCGAAAATAGAAACGTTCATCATATCTACCAAAATAAGTTAGTAACAAACAGTATATGAAGTCAACCCTAACATACACATTGGTTCATAATCATATGCTCATTTAAGATGACATCGTTGTAGCCGTTTCGTCACTTCTTAGAGATGATTCTTAACCTTCACCTCGCCTTGCTTCCGATGCTTGATAGTGTATTTGTAACATTTTAATTTAATACTGCGTTTAGCGTGATGAGAAAACCATTGAGCATGTTACCATGACATCAAGCATGTTTCCAGGATTTACTCACTTGTTGCTTGGCAACAACATAATGAAATAAAGATAATTTAGATAAACTCATAGGAGCTTGATACTCATTTGATGACGACACACCCGGTATGCAACAAGAGGCAAACACACTGATGTTGATCAGTCAACTTCCTGCCTATAACTAGATACTTACTAACCTTTGGTTTGGCGACAACATTCCGTAAGTAAAAATAAACTTACGGGATGTGGAATACGACAACATTCCCGTGTGTAACGATAGCTGTACTCACTTGAGCTTGATGACGACCGAGTCTCCGTAGTGAGCGTCCGAGAAGCTTGGAATATAGAGAGTGGAGTGACCGTTGAAATAAGCCTTCCCGTCAATGACAAAAACGCGGTCACCCTCGTTCTCGATGACGTTGTCATGTCCAGATTGGTCCATTAGTCCGCCACAGAAAGGTAGGTAGACTTCCGGCCTACAGACTGTAAAGGGTAGCAAAGTGATATAATATTTATTTTGATCGTTTCTATTTCAAATAACAGTACATGTTTACGGTCCTTTATTTACATAATATTGCGTTTATCGTTCTTAAAATAATAGATTGTATTTTACTATGATCTAATATTGTAGGTTTATTTTTTCAAAGAGATATTGTAGGTTTCGTGTTATTGTATGTTTATTGCTTATCTAAATAGCAGTGTATGTTGCCTGTTACGGCGTTACGTCTTGCCTTTAAACAAGTCGACGGTAGGAAACTCCTATGGTATCCGAACGAGACAAGGCGAGCCACACCATCTCCTGGGACACAAGTTAATGTGCCTAGTGATAAATGTCCCAAACGCCTATTTCTTACGCAAATTTCCATTTCCAGCCAAATGTCTTAATTTTTGTACCATCATTAATTTTAAAAGTATTGATGAGCACAATGTAGATAAAATGACATGGTATCAATTACACTCAATTTTAACACCCGTTCGTGTGTAATCACCGTCCAACAACATTTTCAAAGATGACAAACCAATTTATTGTCACACCATCTCCATTCGAGGCTTAACACACGCTATGCTAATTGATATAAATTGATAAAATATCGGCATCCCATCTAAGTCTGTTCCTGATGTTATTAATGGGAGTACGCAATTTCGCTTGGTCTTGATCGGAAGGCCCTCGTTATAGAGCACATTTTGTCTATACATATGCACGCAAAGCACGAAATTAAAAAGATATACGATTTCTCAAATCTAGTTAATTTAGATTTCTCTCATTGTGCTTGCATGCTACGAACTATTTATTGCTAGAGCTCCACAATTCCGGCAATTTACTCCGGCGAGTTACACGTTTTTACGTCCTAAGATTATATAAACTTAATGGTAATAAACGACTTTAACCTTCGTTACACAACCCGCGGGTTTAATTCTTACGTTTCGAATTCTCAATTGTTGACGGGAAACATGCGTATACTACTAAAGAGTAATTTACACACAAAAACTAGCGCAAAATATTTACGAGTCCAATTGTCGTCTGTGTAATTGGGGTACGTTTTAAAGTGTTCTCGTTATTTTAACATCCTTCTGTACTTTATAGATCTTATACAAACCCGTTTTTGTCATTTAAGTAACATCTTCGATTTTACCATTAGTACTGTCAATGATGCACTGTTGCAATTAGAAAACATTACGGAAAATCGAATGTATTATCTGGGAAGACATTGAAATACAATGGGAATCAATATCGCATCTCTGTTTTCTACAATAAATGACGAAATTAGGAATTGAAGGCTATTTCTTTCCTACAGCTGCTGCTATCTGCTGTCGATCGAGGATTCAGAGTAAATTCAATTAAATCAGAATACTCGGTGCGGCTCCTCGTTTAAATCTGATTAAGATATGTCTAATGAA